AAGTCATCCGAGTGTCCAACCATACAATTTGGATAGGTAACACAAGTACATGATATTCATTTCTATACAAGTATATGATATGCATTTCGAGTCGTTGCTGTTATCATCATTAGTAGTGTCCATTATTGTTCTTCTTCTGCCAACAATGCCAATCATTTTTGGTCAAGATTCAGCACCGCCAAAACTCAGATGACAGATTCTGTTGAAGTTCCCCATCAAATATCCTCATAAAAACCTCTATAGAAACCTATCCATATGCCATATGCTTGGTATTTTATAGCCATTTATTGCTGGTGAATCCCCATGAAATCCCATGGCATGTGGCCTCCTGGATGGGCTTGCGGATGTTGGTCCCCACATTATTCACCAAGCCATCCAGCATGCCCCAGAGCTTCTCAACGAAGAGGACAAGGGCCTGGCGCTGAGAAGCACTGGCTGAAGATAGCCATTTTTTTTGCTGGGGAAGGTTGAGGAAAAATGGATCAACCCGGATGAATTGACTATGAAACATAGATAATTACGGGGGAGTATGAAAATGGTTCTGAAACAGGATCTTAGTATCAACATGCTGGAATTCAATTGTTGGGAATTGTGATGGTGATGGTGATGATGATGATGATGATGATGACGATGACGACGATGACGGTGACGACGAGTATCAATATTATTACTAACACTTTGTTTCATTATGTTTGTCAGCATCATTGGATATCATTGGTAGTGGATATTATCAGTGTCATCAATGGTCTGGGTCAAGTTGATCATCCTAAAACATCAACAATCAACCAGCTGGGATGATCTTAATTGAAATATCTTAAAGTATCCATAAACAGTTCATCATCCTAACCAGCAAAAATAATAATCCTACAAGTAGAACAGCCTAAGTCAACAATAAATACTCATCCCGAACCCATCCCGGACCCACTTTCACTTTCGGTCAACCCACCTCGCGTCCCTCCTTACTGGAGACATCTGCAGCGATGCCATGAACTTTTCCGCCCAGGCTGGACAACTCCTTACACGTCTCCTCAAAAAAAAGGCCCTGGTGCCGCTGTTGTGGAAACATGTGTAAATATGTGGACAGTGATTTTTCCTCCAGTGTGGAAACACTTCTCAATTCTGATCGCACACATTGATTCATTCATTCCGATGTTTTGGTGCCCATCCTTCGTGTGAGAAGTCGAATGACTTTGTTGCAGGAGAGACCCGGACCTATTTGACCTTGACCCTGAGGGAGCTGCTTCTTTCCATGGCTGGATTCGAGGTGAGAATCTCCAGCTTCATCAGATAGACACAATGAATAGGATAGTCATATCTATACCCAAAAATAATATGATTAAGGTGGCTAATTGTGTTCTTTAAGTGCTTCTGAAAATCGGAAACAACACCACCAGAGAACCACTACCATTTGCTACCAAACCCAGGTATAACTGGGATCATAAATCTCTAGCACGTGGACTTCCAAACCCTCATAACTGAAAGATTGAGGGTATATGACGTTGTAGATTAATGATGACTAAATATATATATATATTATGTGTTCCAATTACTGACCTTAACCATCCTTAACTTAACTCAAACACATCTCTGGAACTTTCGGAACCGGATCTCCTCCACCTCTGTGGCTTTGCGAGAGGTGATGACCTTGGAGACATCAGTATGTGAAGGATCCTTCAGGTCTTGAAATTATACAGTCATATGCCAAAAGACATGGCGTAACAAGCCATAGTATGTCAATATATGTGTTGAATGAATATTTACAGTAAAAGTATGTATAAGTAACTTATAAGTATGTGAATATATATATATATAATTATATATATATGTGAGTACAGTGTTTTGAACGGACAGTTGACACAAGTCCAGTCCAGCTAGGCTTGTGTGATAATACAACTGCCTAGATCTTCATTGATGTGTCCTCATTTTCTCTTTGTCTGAGTGTGCAAAAAACGTATATTAGTAACCCCTAGCCTAGCAGCTACGGGAATTTTCTGAGAACTCCAGGTTGTACCTAATCAATTAGTTCGTTCCCCATGGTTCATTCTAGTTTTCCGAGTTATAAGCATAATCCATAGATCCACCATGATCCACCATGATCCACCATGATCCACCATGATCCACCATGATCCACCATGATCCACCATGATCCACCATTCCATAATTCATAATGGTGGATTTTCACGGATCAAGTCCGCGATTCAAATCCATGAAATACAATATGACATACATACGTTATACCCAATATCATCCCGCTTTTTCTCCGAATATGATCCCATTCTTGGTTCAATCATAATTCATCATTATTCATCAATATCAGTACTATCCCATAACATAGATTATACAATAGATTAAATCATATCATCAACATTCATATCCCATATTAGCATCAGCCCATCCATGCCCATCGCCCATCCAAAACGCCCTGGGGATCCCTGGGGCGTTCCAGCAACCTCAGCACCTAAGCTCAACATCTCCTGCGCACATGCGCGGCCCAGGCCTTTGGTGGAGCCTGCGAACCACAACCGGGAACCCAACGTGTGCGGGGAACGCTTGGCTAAGGGACGAATGGATGCGAATGGTGGGTTAATGGTGGCTTACTAATGGGGAATGGTTTATAACAACTATGATTTAACTATGATGGATGGCATAGATATTATCATGCTATTATCTATACTGTATACAGTCAAACGACAAACTCATGCCCAGCTCATGCCTGGGTCAAAACTTGCTAGTAGATCACCATGGAATCGCTGTTTCAAGAAACTCATGCCTAAGTCATGCCCAAATCTTGAAACACCATGGAATCGCGTATGTATAAGAAGAATGTTTCCACACTTGGGAAAATCAAATGTTCGCAAAAATCTGTCTACAGTTGCACTCTAGATAGATAGATAGATAGATAGATAGATCGATGGATAGATAGATAGATAGATAGACAGACAGACAGATAGATAGATAGATCGATAGATAGATAGATAGATAGACTCGGTATGGAAAAGGTTACTCTTGATGCTAAACACAACCTAATCGCAAGGTTTATTAACAAAAAATATTCCAAAGACCAAATCCAACAAAACATTGCAATTCCTATGCGTTTTACTAAAAAGGCACGGCTTTTCAAATCAAGTGCTCCCCAGCTATTTACGATGATTTCCAAATTTTAGGCACGACTTTAACAGTCAACTGTAGATGCTGTAGATATCTGTAGCTGGTCTTGATTTACAGGATGTCGATGGTAACCATCCCCCTAGTGTGGCAAAGCTAATGGGAAAATCATGGGACAATTATGGGATGACTATAGGAATCTATAGGAAATCGTTACTGGGATAACTATTGGGATGATGATAACTATAATAAACTATTCCCAAAATCACAATTTATGGGAAACCATCCCCAAACGGTAGGTTTCTTGTGGTTTATTATTGGGTTGCCCACGTAAACTGACTGGTGCTTCATCATGCTCATCCCACTCAGTAGGTGGTTATGGGAAGCGGATGACCCAACATGGTGATAAGATGTTACAAGTTAGGTGAGTGAAGTTGGCCAAAAAAAACGGAGTTGTGACCGACTTACCAAATCAGATAAAGCACCAAGTCGAGGTTACCTTAGCCAACAGGAGCGTTGCCAACCAAAATAAGAAGCAACACTTGTCCTGGGACAAAGAAACCAAAACAGGCAAGAAACGTGTGATAACAATCAAACATGGGATGTTGATGCAATCAACCATCATGGGACTCAAGCATACTCAAGCAATGTTTTTTCTTTTTGTTATCTGGAGTTTCAACTGAATGAAACGTCGCCCGCCAAAGCCCACCTGTCACCACCACTTTGAAGCCACTCAAGGACCATCGGGACATGGCAGGGAATCCCACTGGGATTCAGGAAAATAGTGCAGCTGTCCCACAGCAGTCTGCAAGTAGGGGAATCGCAGCGACTGTTCATTTGTCTCTGTGAAAATGCCTCCGACTCACGAAGTATCACATTGCTAGGAAACCGACATGGGTCAAAGTGGTGCAGTGGCGAGACTAGGCTGAATTCTTCTAGTCATACCAATATAGTAGACACCTAGTGCCGGAGAGTCTTCCCTGACAAGAAAACCATCAGATGTTGTCTGACCCCATATCTTGAACATCATGGCTGCCTCGATGATGTTATCAGTACTCATTGAACACCTTGCTCAAGAACCTTCTGCTCTGCATGGCAACGGAGGCAGCGGAGCAACCAAAAAAATGGACACCATCCTGCTCCACTTGGATACCACGGGAAGCCCCATGTTTGCTTTCAGGCGACTCAAGCTCATGAATGTGGATTCATTTCTACAAGTGCCTTGAAAGAAGACATGGCAAACCCATGCAAACCCATTGGTCAAAAATCAACCCAGTTGTGGAGAAGTTGGGACTTCAAACTGCTGGGGCATAGAGCTTCAGTTCAGGCAGGTTGCACTTGAGCCCTGAAACGGGAAGAGAATCCTCTCTCTATAGTCGACCAGCAAACGTCTAGTGTGTGATTTCATCAGATCCCTACTTTGGTTGGGGATTTCTCCCTTTCTTGTTGCTTAGATCTTTCATCCCCCTAAGATGTGAAGCCATGCCGCGACTGGGGTAGTTTTGGTCGGTGAGACGATAGTAAAGCTACTGCGCCTCTCTCCGGGCTGATCCCTCAAGTTAGGATTCAATGGTTGGGAACTTTGGAGCCATGAGTTGGTCATGAAGTCTGGTGAAGATCTGGCTGTTTTTCCATGTTTTTGGCTACATCTGGATGATTTGGTACTAATTTCTGGACCCGGATCATGTTCGGTCTGCATGGCTGATCGCCACTTGAAGACACCATCTAAAACTTGAGGCTTCATCCCAGTCATTTCATTTTCTGCCAAGTTTCTTTGACTTGGCGGCATCAACCATCAGCAACTGATATGAACATATATGAATCATTATGAATCTATGAACCTGACTGCATCATTTCGCAACGGAATTGGGGTTCTGACTGGCACCAACATCGGCTCAGAGAAACGCTGCGCCGCGCTGCTTCCCCACGGACTCCTCGGCGACACCGGGTGCAAGGGCCAGCAGTGGGCTAGCCGCAGGACGCAAGGGTAGCGAAGCACCCACGGGGCAGCTGGGCTTCTGCAGCAGTCCACGGTAAAGTCCTGGGGACAGGCGAGATCCGTTGCCTGTGCATACCTCCAAACGCCAAACGCGGTACATGGTAAAGCGAGCAACTTGATAGAGATATCGAGTAGGCCTTGGTGTTTTGCAGAGTCCCTTCATTTTTGGACAGTTAGACTATTAGAAGTCTCCGTTTTGAGAAGTGAACAGAACTTCGATGGACATCCCTGGGAGATCAATCACTGGGCCAAACAGGTTGTTTCGGGCAACATGTTGGCCCACAACCATTGACACCCGTGAGCCATGGACAATATCTGCTACAATGGCCAAGATGGCCAACATTAGCTGATGGATGTCCTGGATGTCCATCCTCAATCACTAAAATGCTGGCACAAGATGGTCCCCATCTTGTTGCATCTTTGCCCTATCAGGTCAAACTTCCCAATCCCTCCAAGGTTCTCATGGCAGCTTTGAAATTCTCGTGACATGGGAGGTACAAACCATACCTTGGACGCTGCGATTCCACGTTGTAGAAAATCCAGGCAGAGTTTTCCCATGAAATAATTTTCCCAGATTTTCGCATATTTTCAGAGTGGATTTCACACGGGAAAAACAACGAATTGAGCAGTGTTCATTCGTTTACAGGATTCCCGCAATTAATGATGATAATCCCCAATACATCCCAATATTAAATATGGTAAAACATGGTAAAACCAACTATAGTCATCAACCAACAGGGGTTTTGAACACTGCTCAAGCATGCTCAAGCAATCTCAGGAGACTTCTTGCTGAGTGGTCGACATTTGCTGAAATGTTCCCAGGCAGCACCCAACTGGCTTGATTCCAAATCACGACGTGCGATGGCCAAATCCGTGTACCTCAACAGGCTCAACAGGCTCAGGCTCCGAGAGCTTCCAGCAGGTAACTGCACATTGAAACTGAAACAAGCCTAGTGACTAGAAAAACATGTGGGAATGAATATATAGATCAGATATAGATATTGTGGAAGCCAGGCCAGTTCACATGTGCTTGAGGTCATTCCCTCATGGAACCAGGGGGTTCTTCCAGAAACCAGTTGTTGCCGCAGCCTCTGGGCTGGAGGGAGGGATTAGCTTGAGCAATAGCGCTATCAGTGACGCTTAGCGGATACAGCTGTGGCCAGCTGTGGGTGCGTTGGACTGATTGCAGGTCGTGGCTTCGCATTGGGCAAAACAGGAGTTTGCATTGCTGGACAGGGTTCCAACTGGGATTAGGATTGGAAGTGAACAAGCTACCAGTGTCAATCTGACATTGGTAGCGGAGCTACCTGGCGATCAGGCGCCACAGAATTCATGACTGAATCATCTGGAGGACAGGCTGGAACTGATGGGGGTGGAACCATCTCGAATCAGCTTGCGCTGTTAGTGCCTTCGTTTGATCCTGCAAGTGACAATGTGGACATTTGGTCCAGCAAGGTTCACCTACTGCTTGAAGCATGGCCCCAGACCAAAATCCTGGAGCTCATCACCCGACTGATCCTCAACACAAAGGGATCAGCCTACCAGAAGCTTCATTTGCATCAAAAGGACCTCTTGGTGAATGACCGTAAAGGGGTTCAGAAACTGGTGGAATTGGTTGGGGGCACCTGGGGACAGATTCCCCTTGAGCATCGTTTTGAGTTGGTGGAAAAGGCCTTGTATCGATGTCAGCAGAAGCCTGACGAGACAGGTGACAGTTTCATCGCCCGTGTTGATGTGGTTTGGACTGAGCTTTTGACCAAGGACGTTGACATGGATCAGAATCGATCGTATGTTTTGCTTCGTGGCAGCCGCCTTTCAGCTGAAGACAAAAAGCGCGTGTTGGTGGAGTCCGGAGCTGAACAAATTGGACAGAAACTGGAATGGAAGAAGGTCGTAGCAGCCATACGCATGTTAGGTTCATCTTTCTTTCAAGACTACACGGGTGCCAAACGAGAAAAGAACATGAAAACCTATGACCATTTGGCCTTCAATGTTGATGAAGTAGAAGAGGATGAAGAACATGACACGTATTGGACTGTTGATGATCCACTGGATGATGAAACCTTAGCACAGTTAGCCGATGACAATGATGAAGATGCTGCTATGGTGGTACAGTTTGAGGACGCAGTGACAGAAGCAGTGCAGAGTGATGCAGACCTAGCTGCCTATTTTTCCTCATATCAGGAGGCACGTCGCCGCCTGACAGAACGTGCCAAATTCAGAGGATTTTGGCCCGTGAGAAAAGGAGGGAAAAGTGGGGGCAAGAAAGGTTTTGGAAAAGGAGGCGGAAAAGGAAAGTCACTAGCACAGAGGATAGCTAATTCTACGTGCAGACTGTGCGGGAAAAAGGGTCATTGGAAGGCCGAATGTAGCCTTCGTCAATCAGCCTCGTCCACTGGCCCTCCAAGTGATGGATCAACAGTTCCGATTTCCATGGCGGTCGTCGACGATGTGCCAACAGAGATCCCGCCCGAGATCTCCCATTTGCCTGAGATGAGATTTCCCGAGCCTTTGCCAGATTGTGCAGCCGCATGTTTTGGGGTAATCACGGGAAATAAACTTGGGAATAATTGGAATAATGATAAGGGTAAGAAATGGGGATTTAAATCACATGTTATGTCACGCATCCGAATGGCCCTCAGGAATGAACTGAGCATTCGTGCCAAACACGGTGATGCTGCGCAGCCAAAGTCCCATGATGTAAAGTGTCCCTCGACGTCTCACATGCATGATCCGAAAGGTCACCCGGCATCCAGTGTGATTTCACATGACATACACTTTGCGTCATCAGGTACCCATGGCATTGTTGATTTAGGTGCTTCACAGACAGTGATTGGAAGCCATCAGGTGACAGAACTTTTGCAGGGTCTTCCCGAACAGATCCGAAAGCAAGCACACCGTGCACCATGCCACTTAGTGTTTCGATTTGGTAATCATCAGACGCTGACGAGCCAACATGCACTTGTGCTCCCGATCCAAAAGGGATGTTTCCGAATTGCAGTTGTTCCAGGTCCAACACCTTTTTTACTGTCAAGTGCGTTTTTGAAACAGATTCAAGCTGTGATTGACACTGAAGAGGGAACCATGTGGAGTAAGGCCTTACGAAAGTTTCTCACTCTTGAAAGATCTCCAAAGAATCTGTTCTTAATGAATTTGAATCAACTTTGGGATGATAGTTTTTCTGGTGAATCAGGTGAGGCCTCTTGCATGGCTCAGACTGAAATTGACCGTGGTGCCAAAATGACAGTCAAACAGCCGCAGGGAAGCCTTAGGGGTAGTGAGCTCAACTTGACAGACCAATCATCTCCGCTTGAAAGTTCAGTCAGTTGCCATGAAACAGTTTTGAGAACCCACTTGCCGGTGAGCCCGTCACCATCATGTCCGACTGACTCAGCAGTGTGTGGTCCAAAGATCAACGCAGAACGTGACTCAACACCGGGGGAACATGACGTCCCTGGCTTTGCAGCTCAAGGAGTACAACAAGTCGCAGAAGAAGCAGATCTCTCGAGAGGTCGTGAGTGCCATGACTCTGGAAGAGTTAGCCAGCGAGAAGATCACCTTCGGAGAGTCAAAGAAGGGTATGACCTATGCTCAGGCGTTCGAGGACGCACAATGGACCGAGTTCATTTTGAACAGGTTCGAGATGAGCGACAAACCAGAGCACATGATGTTTGTGCAGTATGTCCGTCTGCGCCTGAAGGATGTCCAGGTGAAGGCCAAAACCAGCAACCAGAGCCCCAAGCCGAAAGAGAACAAGAGCATGCCTCCTGTTCCCCAGGAGGTTTGGGAAGATGTCATGACCACGGACGGCTCAGATCCAGCCGACCTGATGCACCTGCCCTTCATTCAGGAGGAGATGCAAGATCTACGACAGAGCAACCAGCATCTGTCCAATCGAATGGGACAAGTCGAGATGATGATGCACGAGATGCTGGAGCACATGAAGAAGATGCAGGTGAAATCCGAGAACTGAGAGTTCTGAGTGCAACTGAGGCTGATCTGATCCGGCATGGTATGTTTGCAGAAGAGGTGCATTTGAACATGACCCTGGACACAGACTTTGACTTCACACATGATGTTTCCAACAACAGTTATCACCGACGAATCCAACGTATGGTAAAACAATTTCAATCTGAACTTGACCAAGTGATTCAACAAAATCAGAAGAACAAGTTTCGACTTCCTCAACTTGATTTGTTTGAAGTCATGTGTTCCAGTGACAGTGAACTCACAAAGCAAATGTCGTCCATTGGTGGTCGCTCCAAAAGATTCGGATTGGCAGAAGGTGACCTCCAAACAGCTGCAGGACGCCGAAGAATGTTTCAAGTGTTGACCACCCAGAATCCCAAGAATCTGTGGTACAGCCCTGAATGTGGACCCTGGGTGTGTGGACACGGTTCTGTGTGGAAACCGCCTATAGGTCTTATGTGGCGGAATGAATCACTCCATGGGTTGCATGACATTCTTCAGAAACGTCTTGCAAGCCTCTGGCAGATCAGCTTAGCCATTGTTCTGTATCGATTTCAGGTGCAGAGATCACTGCATTTTCACTTAGAACAGCCGGATGGTTCCAAGATGTTGCAGCTCCAACCACTAAGTGAAATTGGTGAACACACAAGGCTTTGCCGCTTTGACCTCTGCCGCATGGGCAACTTGACCGATCCAGAATCAGCCATGCCCATCCGAAAGCGTTTGAACGTAGCAACAACGTCAGATCCGTTGGCCCGAGCCATCCATGGAAAGCTGTGCAATCCCGATCACGAACATCGACAAATTGCAGGAAGCATTAAACATGAGGGAAAGCGTATGTCATTGTCCACTTTTACTGAGAAGTATCCAGCCAAATTTGATCGACAGGTAGTCAAGATCTTGCTTTATGAAGTTCCAAAGGAAAAGCCTGTGTTTGCAATGGATGACCCATCTTCTCAGGAAAATAACAATGAACACCCAACCAAGAAGAGACGCCTCATGTCAAAATTGAGTCCACAAGCCATTGCACAGCGATTTGCTGACGCCAGCTGGCAGACAGTGATGAGACGTGCCAATGTAATGGCCCCACGTGTTGGACCACTGGTGATTGACACTGGAGAAATCATTCATGAGATTTCCATGTTATGTCCTGAACATGAGATTAAACATGTGGTCCTTTGTCGTGGCACAGACCGATATCCTGGCCCTACCAGAAATGTTCCACCAGGTAGTGCTCCTCTAAGAAAACGCATCTGCATCCGTCGCAAGCATGAAGATGTGGTTGTTGATGATGAATGGGAGCCCTGGGAGAAACTGACATTTAAAGGCTTGCGTCGAAAGGGAACGCCAGCCAGAGTCAGTCTGACCATATTTGCCAAAGCCAAGACAGTTGTAGGCCAAGAGATACCTGTTTCCGAACATGTTCCAGTGCAGTCTCAATCTTCTGCCGACGTCCGTGCTGTTCGCTCTGCTGAGTTCGAAGGATCAGAACCAGAACCAAAGCGACCGCGCACTCATGAGCCAATGGATGTGGCCCAAAGAGTTTCCGAACCAGAAAAGACCGAATCAATAGATCGTCATGTCATTGACCTAGCCTCTCAGAAACATGGACCACGTTTCATGATGTTGAAGCCAGAAACTCAGGCATGGCTTCTCAAAGTTCACCGAAACCTGGGCCATCCGGGAGCTATGAAATTGACAGAGTTCTGTCGACAACTGGGATGCCCCAGTGAAATTCTCCAAGCCATCGGAGACCTGAAATGTTCAACATGTGCTGAGAATCAAGATCCCAAGATAGCTCGTCCAAGTTCCATACATGACCATGGGGATTTTGGAGATGTTGTTGCAATTGATGGTATCACATGGACTAATAAGATGGGGCAACAGTATAACATCTATCACATGTTGGATCAAAGTACCTTGTATCACACTGCCGTGGTTACTCGTGCACATGATGCTGAACAGGCCATACATGCGCTTCACCAGGGGTGGATTCAATGGGCCGGACCTCCAGGTCTCCTATGCATGGATGCAGGGACAGAACTGAACTCCAATGACTTCATGACATTTTTGCAACGGTACTCAATCAAACATCGAACCATTGCCACAGAAGCACACTGGCAAAATTCCAGGATTGAGAGACATGGAGCTGTACTGCAAAGCATTTTGAACAAAATGGACACCGAAGAACCACTTGATTCCTTTGAAAAAGTAAGCCAAGCAACCGCTTTGGCCACTGCAACCAAAAATCAATGGAGCCGTCACAGGGGTTATCCACCAGAAGTCCTTGTGTTTGGAAAGTCAAGTAGGGTAGCCGGTTCAGTAGTTTCAGATATGCAGTTGCCTTCCCGCAGTTTAGCCATTGATGATCGTCCTGAAGGTCTCCGATTTAGAGAGGAACTGGCCCTGCGAGAACGCGCGCGTCGCGCCTTCACTGCCACTGACAATTGTCAGGTCCTAAGAAGAGCCCTGGTCCAAAGGAGTAGACCCAATCGGGGCAAGTATGTCCAGGGAGATCATGTTATGATGTGGCGAAAACGTGGTGAAGCTGATGGCTCTTGGATTGTTGCAAGAAAGTTCACATGTTGTGTGGATCACCATGGGCAGCAAGCTGTATCGCGTAGCTCCGGAACACCTCCGACCGCTGTCGGCAGTTGAGGAGTGGCAACACCGATCCACAATCAATGAAAATCAATCAGGTGATTCTCCACGTTCCACGTCACCAAATCAAAGCATTATCCCACCACATGGCGGAGTACAATATCACAATTTAATTCCCACTGAAGCACCAAGTTCAACTAACACTGCCAATAATCAAGATGTGAATCAGATTCCAATAATCCCCAATGAAGATAACCCTAACGTTTCAGTAATCCCAATAAGTGACAGTAACTCTAGCTCCGTCAAGATGAAGTGGTGCAACTTCTCAAAGGTGCCTATGGGCGTGTTGACGCACCATATCTCTGGTTTGTTGAACTGAAGAAGACCCTAGAGGAGCTGGGATTCCAAGCATCACCGTTTGATCCGTGCCTGTTCCATCTGAGTGACCCCAAAACCCAGGAGACACAAGGTCTGATTGGTGTTCATGTTGATGATGGGTTGTGTTGTGGGAATGAAACTTTTCAGAACAAGCTCAAACAACTGGAAGCCAAGTTTCCTTTTGGATCCCGTAAGATGCACAAATTTGTGTTCACTGGTTTACATGTCACGCAAGAAGCTGATTACACTATCACAGTGAACCAGTCACAGTATGTTCGGGATATTCATGCAATTTCCATCTCTCATGATCGAAGGTGTCAACCAGACAGTGTCGTCACAGAAGAGGAACGACAAGCGTTGCGAGCTCTGATAGGGAGCCTACAGTATGCAGCTGTAAACACGAGACCTGACATATGCAGCCGACTGGGTTGGCTTCAAAGCCAAATCAACAAAGCAAAAGTGTCCACATTGGTTGAAGCAAATCGAACCCTCCATGAAGCAAAACAACATTCCAATGTGGCCCTGCGAATACAATCCATACCAGTTCCTGATTTGCGGTTTGTTGCTTTTTCCGATGCCTCCTTTGCGTCAGAGAAATGCCCTGACTCACATCAGGGAATGATGATCATGTCTGCTCACAAGTGCATTGGTGAAAATAGACGCAGTCCAATCAATCCAATGGTATGGCATTCTAAGAAAATCCAGAAGGTAGCAGTCAGCACGTTGTCTGCCGAAGCAATGGCTCTGGCAGGAGCAGTGGATATGCTTTCTTGGGTGCGCCTTTTCTGGGCATGGATATGTGATCATCGCTGTGATTGGAGACAAGCTGATAGCACTCTCCTCCGACTTCCACCAGCATTTTCAGCGTTGACACCAGAACTGCCTGAGAAACAGCCGATGCCTGAAGTTGCCAAAAGAATCCTCAATGATATTCCCAAGGAACGTTCTGATTTCATTACCACTGATTGTAAATCACTCTTTGACTTAATCAACCGTAATGCTCCCCCAACTTGCACTGAATTTCGTACTCAACTTCAAGCCAAGCTGATTCGAGAACATATCCAAAATGGCATTCAGATCCGATGGGTTCCATCAGCCGCTCAAGTAGCTGATGCGTTGACAAAAGTCATGGACAATACCATGCTTAGGACATGCTTACAGCAAGGTCACTACAGTTTGCATGACGAGCATGAAATACTCAAGGCTAGATCAGATGCAAGAACCAGAATCAAATGGCTTCAAGCTCTCAATCCCGAAAGTTCAGAGCATCGGTAGTTTGTGGAAAAGCCAAGCCGTCCATGCGCTATCCGATTGAAGTTCTGAAAACCCAATTAGATCTTTCGATGATGCAAGCATGGTCTCTGCCTCACAGGAGACAACTACCAGTGATGAGGTTGACATTGTCTTCAATGCGTAATCAACTGGGTATTTTTCCAACATCATGTCCGTGATTGTCTTCACCATCCTGATCACCGAAGTCGTATCTGGAATGTGCACATGATGAACAAAATTTTGATAGTACGAATGTGAAAGCCAGGCCAGTTCACATGTGCTTGAGGTCATTCCCTCATGGAACCAGGGGGCTCTTCCAGAAACCAGTTGTTGCCGCAGCCTCTGGGCTGGAGGGAGGGATTAGCTTGAGCAATAGCGCTATCAGTGACGCTTAGCAGATACAGCTGTGGCCAGCTGTGGGTGCGTTGGACTGATTGCAGGTCGTGGCTTCGCATTGGGCAAAACAGGAGTTTGCATTGCTGGACAGGGTTCCAACTGGGATTAGGATTGGAAGTGAACAAGCTACCAGTGTCAATCTGACAAGATACAGATATAGATATAGATATATATATATAGACATATTGTGGGACTTGGATTAAAAATTGCGAGAACCACCACTTCTCAACTCCTAGCGGCTAGCGGGCAAACTTCCTTTTTTGAAGTATGGACAGAAAGTTTTGCAATTCCAGGATCATAGGATCATTGACGCTCCATTTCTCCAGGTTGTAGCTCCATTTGTAACGGTAAATCCCAATTTTGTTGTGGCAGACTCACCTATTTCTGTCGGTTGAATACTAATGTTTGATCAATCGCAATGTTTTGATGTTCGAGTTCCGTTTCGCTGTTGGTTGAACTAAACATTCTCCGACAGAAACTCGCTATTTTCAATGGTCAATCTCCATTTTTGATGTGGTTTTTACCCCAAAATTGTAAAAAAATGTCATTTCCTCAAATTCGGGGTACGAGTACAGTACCCTCAAAAGCCATGACCCATTCTAGACTATTCTGTTTTTGATCCCTGTCATTGGCGCCAAGCAACTTCTCTCGCATCTTCTCGAGAGAGTCCGAGAAATGTCCCTTAGCCACCTCAAACCGGTGAAAGGCGTCGCCAAACCTCGAAGCGGTGCCATGGATTTTTTTTTATGGATGGTTTGCCCATGATGGTTAGGGTTGAGTTGGTTCAAAAGGAGGAACATATGTCAGGAAATCATGGATTCTATGATGGGAGGGTTGGTTCTAGAATTTCTCGAAAACCAATGCTGGAGCAATTGAGGGTGCTTGAAACTGTCCAAACATTCGGAGGAAAACACTCATTAACCCAGCGTTGCAACCCAACAGCATACCTGAATCTTCCACCTACGTCTTTTTTCAGACCCTGTGCCAAAGTCCTGTTTTTTCAGTACCCAGAAAACTTTTCAGGACCTACTCTCAAATTCAGGACCTGGCCATTTTGGGGTATCAATGGTAATGGCAATCATTGGGTGCAAACATGTGAAACCAACATTTGGTGGATATTCAAGCCATTGGCATTGATCCACGCAAATAAAAGCACTCCCAGCCCAAACTCATGGCAAGGCAGGATCAGAATATAGTATATTCCAGAAAGTATGTCAGAATAGATGCCAGATAGGATGCCAGAAAGAATGTCAAATAGAATCTCAGAAAAGAATGTAAGATAGTATGTCAGAACATATATGCCACATATACGTCCAGATGATATGTCAGAAACTATGTCAGAATAGTGTGTCAGGGTGGGGATCACTCTTAGTAAGGCAATTTTGAAAATATATTTCAGGCTCGGAATTTTCAAACTGTTGTCCTTCAGGCGCCGAAGCTCCAGTTGAAGGTCAGCATCGCCCCATGTCAACTGGTCCAGTCCCACTTCCATTTCAACAAGTCCAACTTCATCGATTAGGGTGTTGGTTGAATGGACTTGGGACTCTAGCTGGCACGGCATCCCTTGTAACCCTGTAGACACTGTAGTGGGCAAAAAGATTGTAACACACAGAATCAGCATCATTTTGATCAGGCATTCTTTTTGCTAATCCTTTCTCCCTATTACGAAAAATACCCCCAAATGACAAAAACTAGGTGCGATTTCCAATTTTGGGAAATGTCAAATTGGTTAATCTGATTTTTAATTGATCCCCTTGAGGAAACAATTTTAAAAATGAAGGTACCATGTGAGGGTTTCACCCCCAAAGAATAAAAAACTAGTCAACACCGGGGTGTCTTTTATTGGGGTCCGTCCTTTAAAATCGTCAATTTTAGTTTTTTTAATTCAGGTGTTGGTGTTTTATTTGATACTAGGCGAAAGCTTCGAAATCCTATTCTTGGCAGTATTCTATTTAAAGATTATTTTCATGGATTTTGAAATTAGAAACAAAAAACGGTTTAATCCCTTCCCCCTGTTGCTAAACAGTCGCCCCTTCACCCACCCACCCAAATAACAAACACCTGGAGGAGTTTTTAGTATTGGGGGGGTCTTTAGTATTAGGGTACGAAGCTTCCCCCTAATACTGATAAAAAACACACACACATATATATATATACACATATTTCTATTTCAAAATCGATCAGATTTTTTTCTTTTTAAATCCAATTAAAATATGGCAAACAAGTGGATTCCGAAGCTTAATATCAAATAAAAACCCCCAACATAAAAAACTATGTATGTTTTCCTATTTCGAAATCGATTAGATTTCCTTTTAAAAATTAAATAAAATATGGCCAAAAAATTGGATGTCGAAGCTTTTCCGTTATATTAAACCCTAATATCATTTTGTTTTTTTTCCTGTTTCACAATCGATTAGATTTCCTTTTGAAATCTAATGAAAAAAAACAAAAAATTGATTTTGAAGCTTTCCCCCAATATCAAATTAAAATCCAATTATTAAAATATGTTCAAAAATTGGATTTCGATGCTTCCCCTAATCTTGCATGAAAAATTCCAATATAAAAAACTAAATTTGTTCTATTTCAGAATCGATTAGATTTCCTTGTAAATTCAAATTAAGATATTGCCAGAAATTGAATTTCGAAGCTTTCCCCTAATATTAAACCCTCATATCAAAGACTATTTTTTCTATATCAAAATTCATTAGATGTCCTTTTGAAATCTAATTAGAATATGGTCAAAAATTGGATTTTGAAGTTTTCCCCTAATATTACATTAAAAAAACCCAATATAAAATATTATTTTTTCTTTTTTGAAATCGATTCGATTTCCTTTTGAAGTGTAGTAACAAAAATAAAAACAAAAACCGGATTTCGAAATGTTTCCTCTAATATTAAATTACCAGCCCTAATATATTTTTAAAAAAAACTGTTTCAAAATCGATTAGTTTTCTGTTTAACATATAATTAAGATATTGCTAAAAATTGGATTTCGAAGTTTTCCCCTAAGATTAAATTAAAAACACTAATAAAAAAAACTATGTTTTTTCGATTTCAAGAATCGATTAGATTTCCTTTTGACATCCAGCAAAAATATTGCCAGGAAATGCCAAAAAGTGGATTTCGAAGTTTTCCCCCAATATTATATAAACGTTGTAATATAAAATACTTATTTTTTCGACCTTAAAAGACCCTAGTTTAAAAAATCACCGGGGCTGACTAGTTTTTATTTTTTGGTGGTGAAATCCTGAAATGGGACCTTCATGTTTAATTTGTTTTTGAAAAGGTATCAATTAAAAGTCAAACTGGCCAGCCTGAAATTTCCCAAAATTTAACGCGGACCCTAGTAAAAGGAATCAATGTAATATTTTAGTATTTAGGGTACGTTTAGTAAAAGGAGGTGGGGATTAGTAAGGTTTTCAATTTAATATAAGGGGAAGCTTCGAAATCCAATTTGGCAAGATTTGAGTTAGATTTTGAATAGGAATTCAATCGGTTTTGAAATATAAAGTTCATTTTTTAAAACGAATGTTTTCAATTTAATGTCAGGGGGAAGCTTCGGAATCCAATTTTGGCAATATTTTAGTTAGATGTTATTTAAAAAATGTTTTCCAATTTAGTTTTTTTTAACCAAGGGGGAAGTTTCGCACCCTCATACTAAATACCCACTAAATACAAAAAACTATTCCGTGTGTTCATTATTGGGTGGGGAGGGGCAGACGGTTTATTATGACGCAGGGATTGGTCAGGCATCACTTGCTGGAATTATTGGATTCTTTTGGGATGATTGGTATGATGTTTAGTCAGGCATGGTTCCCTTCAGTCACGCACGATTTTTGCAAAAATCCTATTTAGGCACGACCCCAAAATCCCAGCCCGGCAAATTCCGGCCCGGGCCCGGCAAATTCCGGCCCGCGCCCTGCAAATTCCGGCCCTGCGTTTTTCCAAAATCAGGCAAAACCAGTAAATCAGGTATTAAGTCAGGTGTAGTTACCTTTTAAGTCATTAAGGCTAGTCAGGCATGGTTCCAGTGGGTACCTTTTAATTGTGAAGGCTAGTCAGGCATGGTTCCCTGAATTCAGGGGCATGGGTACCTTTTAATTATGAAGGCTAGTCAGGCATGGGTTCTGTTAAGTCAGGCGTGGGTGGGTACCTCTTAATTATGAAGGCTAGTCAGGCATGGTTCCCTTAAGTCGGGTGTGGTTACGCTTTAAGTCATGAAGGCTAGTCAGGCATGGGTACCTTTTAAGTGATGAAATCTGAATCAGGCGGAGCTCCTATTCTAAATGTGTTAAATCCAATTGTTCAGTGTGGAAAATCGATTTTTTGGCTGGTCTACGGGCAAACCCTGTGTCTTCCAATACCATAGCGTGCTGATGTCGCTTGCCTGCATAATAGTTAAGGCCAAAGCTTAGGTCATCAGTGTGATCCTGAAATGGCGCCACGACCAAGAAGATGACATGTGTAAAATGGGCCCTGGATTAACAAAGGCTGACTAATGAATTTGGAGGATGCCACTAAAGTATGACATGTAATCACTTTTGAGGAGCACTCTATGGCACGCAGCGCGCGCAGCCTGCTTTACGGTTTAGCGTTTGAAAGTTTTAGGCTTTGCCTCTATGGCACGCAGCGTTTGAAAGTTTAACCGTTTACCTCTATGGCAGGCTGTGCGCGCAGTACGCGTTACGGTTTAAAGTTTGAAAGTTTTAGGGTTTATGTGTGTGGCACGCAGTGCGCGCAGCGCGCATGAGGGTTTAGGGTTTGGAAGTTTTATAGTTTATTTTATTGCATGCAGCGTGCACAGCGTGGGTTGAACTTTAGGGTTTCGAAGTTTTAGGGTTAACCTCCATGACACGATGGTTTAGGGTTTGGAGATTTTAAGGGGTACTTCTATGGCACACAGCGCGCGCAGCGCGCGTTAGGGTTTAGGGTTTAGGGTTTGGAAATTTTAGGGTTTACCTCTATGACACGAGAGTTTCAGGTTTGAAGATTTTAGGGTTTATTTCTATTGCACAAAGCGCGCGCAGCGCGCATTAGTGTTTAGGGTTTGAAGGTTTTAGGGTTTATCTCTGGCACGCAGCGCGCACAGCACGCATTAGGGTTTAGGGTTTGGAAGTTTTAGGGTTTATTTTATTGCATGCAGCGCGCACACCGCGGGTTAAACTTTAGGGTTTGGAAGTTGCATAACACCATGGTTTAGGGTTTGGAAATTTTTGGGTTTACTTCTCTGCGACACAGCGCGCGCACCGCGCATTAGGGTTTAGGGTTTGGAAGTTTTTGGGTTTACTTTATTGCATGCAGCGCGCGCAGCGCGCATAGAGTTTAGGGTTTGGAAGTTTTTGGGTTCAGGGTTCCAAGGGTTCCAAGGGTTCCAGGGTTCCAACAGGGTTTCAGGGTCCCCAGGGTGCCAGGGTGCAGGGTTGCAGGGTTCCAAGGTTCCAGGGTTCCCAGGGTTCCAGAATCCAGGGTTCCAGGGTGCCAAGGTTCCAAGGTTTCAGGGTTCCACTGTCGCAGGGTTCCAGGGTTCCAGGGTTCCAGGGTTCCAGGGTTCCAGGGTTCCAGGGTTCCGGGGTTCCAAGGTTTCAGGGTTCCAGGGTTCCAGGGTTCCAGGGTTCCGGGGTTCCAAGGTTTCAGGGTTCCAGTTCCAGGGTTCCAGGGTTCCAGGGTTCCAGGGTTCCAGGGTTCCATTCCGGATTTTGAAGGCTGCAAGTCCCCGCGAGCCAGCCCCAGCCCTAGAGATTGAAACCCAACAGGCCCTGCTGTTGGGAATTTGACCATGCTGACCAGGAACAAAACTTACTTTCAGCATCTTTCAACTATCTTCCAAAATATTTCAACATCTTTCAAAATCAGTGCCTTCTTCTTGTTGTTGTTCTTATCCCTCTCCTTTTCTCAGCAACAAATTGAAAAATGAAAGCTCATCCACGCTCAGAAACTCTCGCTCACCATCAGGTTTCTTCGCCAGCAGCTTGTTTGCAGTGTACGGGTCCAGATTCAACCAGAACTCCTGCCCCGGTGGTTGAATTGGGGGCAATCACAAGATCCGCAGTGCAAAGAACGTTCACAAACTGGCCATCGCTCATGTTGATCAAACTGTATTGAATGACTCCAAGGGCAAAAAGGCAATAACTTTATTATCCTTCATGTATGTACATATATATATACACACATTATAGTATGCATATACATATATAAATATACACTACATATATATATACTATATATATATACATACACACACTATATATATACACACTATATATATACACTATATATACACACACTATATATAAACACAATATATATGTATATACACTATATATATACACTATATATATACACTATATATAAATACACACTATATGCATATATAGATATACACTATATATATACACTATATTTATACACTATATATATATATTTATACACTATATATATATACATACACTATATATATACACACTCTATATATATATATATAGATATACACTATATATATGGTGTATATATATATATATACGCACTATATATATATACACACGCTATACATGCCCCACTATATATATACATATACACACTACAAATATGTATATATATTACAATGCTATATATGTATATACTGTACAGATAAATAAGGGATTTTCACCAACCACACCAATTCCAGTATCCCAAATGAAATGCAGGCAAAGAAGTGATGAAGCTGATAGCCATGATCGTTCGGGCAACGTATTAGTTTGAAGCTACAGCTAAACGGTTATATTTTGAAACTAACAGTTGTATTTTGCAACAGGTATTTTGAAACTAAACAGTTGTATTGTGAAACTGAACAGTTGTATTTTGAAACTAAGCAGTTATTTTGCAACTGGTATTTTGAAGCTTCACGCTTGTATTTTGCAACTGACCAGTTGTATTTCAAAACTCGACCTTTTTTCTGAAACTTGTTTTTTGAAACTCCCAAAGTTCGAAGTCCACCAGATCACCAGCCCAGTGTGCGCATGGAGGATTCTGTCTTTTTACCTCTCCCAAGATTTCGGCCATGGTCACGCGCAAGCAAAGACCCCATCTCGAGTGTGGCATCGCGTAAGTGCGCAGCTTGATCCAATTACCAGACTAGTAATTGGCGTAGGAATAGCTGCGGAAAGTTAGAGACAGTAGTTTCCAAATACGAGTTGCGCAAGAAGAGTTGCGAAATACGACCAATTAGTTCCGAAATACTAGTTGCGCAAGAATAGTTGCGCAATACCACCAAATAGTTGCGCAATACGAACGAATAGTTTCGCAATATTAGTTGCGCAATCCAAGACAGTTTCGCAATAGGACTTTATCCACGAGTGGGCCACGGATGCACTGCAGTTTAGCATGTTGCTCTAACACGTTTCTTTAGACCCCTGTGCTACCTTAACTTTGGGTTTGTGTTACCTTAACTCTTGGGTTTGTGTCAGCAAAACTTTTATTTCGTCTCACCTTAACTTTGAATTTGTGTCACCTTAACCTTCTATCTGTGTCACCTTAACTTTGTACTTTTGTAACCTTAACTTTTTATTTGTGTAACCTTATGTTCCTTATTCGTGTCTCACCTTATTTTTTATTTGTTTCACCTTAACTGAACTGTTTATTTGTGACACCTCAACTGTTTACCTGTGTCACCTTAGCTTTTACCTCTGTCACCGCTTGGTGAACATTGCGGGTCGAGTTTATTTCTCTACTACTGTACATGTAATATATAGTGTTTAAGTTTACATGTGTATGATTACACACATCCGGATAGTATGTGTGTGTGTATTATGTTACACAAAGCGATATAATACCATAAAACATACATTAAACATATTATTTATATGTGTGTATGTATGTGTGTATTCAAAAAACATCCTTTGCTCGTCCAACCAGCACTGTCCTCATCCCCTTTGTGCAACTTCTCTTTGCTCATGGGCGGGTAGGTGCAAGAGCATCCTCAGCAGGAAATCCCTGCACTAAATGGAGGGCTTAGTGGGAAAAGGATCTATAAATGGGAGATTTTCAATTGTCATGTTTGATTACCAGAGGGGTCCAAAGGGCACATTTTTAGTAATATCTGTATATTTTGCAATTTGCAAACATCATACAACATCTTGTGGCACACATGCAGCACAATTCACAAAATAAAGTGTGTTTCGCTGTTTCGATTTATCAAATACATGGCTTGCAGTGAACGGACATACACAAATCTACAGAACCAGCAAATGTGATTCCACTCTGTCCCCATATGCACATGTATCAAGATAGACACAAGACTGCTAAGTGTATCATGGGATTCAAGCAAGCTGTATCCCCATTGTATCCCCATCAAGATCCCATCAGGCCCAGCAAATTCCGTACCAAAGCGCCAGCTCCGGTAATGTCAAGGCCGGGAATGGTGCCCCCAACATCTTCCGCCAAACCATCCACCTGTTCATTGATTTCATTGAGGGAAAATCATGACCATATTTTTTTTTGCGATTTTGCAATCAAATGGTTTCCAGCAGATTCTCTCAGCATCCAAGCCCGGGAACCTAGTCACCACGCCTTTTCTACCCATTGAACGAACATGGCGTACCAATGACACACGGAGATGTGTGTCTTTCCGATGCAAAACATCCAATTTTGGGGGGTCAAGAATTTTGAGTCAACCCCAAATGGTGTCCTGCATTTGTTTATGATTTCTTTATCGGTTCAGAGAGCAGAGTTCAGCCTACCCATCAGCTAATCGGCCGAGAAGACTTGCTTGTCAGCCAAATATCAAAATCAGCAGCACTGAGATATTTGGCGGGGTGAAACATCACAACACATCACGACATATCACAACCCCCAGCCGAAAGATCGTGTCCTATCTTATGAAATAAACTAAATAAAGTAATGTTTGAAGAAAAAACAGTGGGAGCGCCACCTCAGGTAAACCAAGGTGAACCAACTCCTATCCCATCACAGTTTGGCCTCCTGATGCGCATCATCTGCATGACCAAAAACCTACCAAGGCTGAAAAGCTGCGTGAAGGAAACACCATGGATCCGTCTTGAGATCCCCAGGACATGACAATAGAATACAGAAATGTACACAATATGTCCCTGGTTGGTGGTTGACCTACCCCTCTAAAAAATATGAGACAAGTCAGTTGGGATGATTATTCCTAATATATGGAAAAATCATCCAAATGTTCCAAACCACCAACCAGGTCCACAATATGTCCACAAGTATTGCAATACACATTGAAACTACATGACCAGCCTGACCCATCTCGTTGACTCGTTGACACCGACGCAATATGGCCGACCAGGCGCGTCTGGACTTGTTGGGTTTTGGTGGACATGAATGGCATCTGATATCTCTTCAGCTGATGCTTTTTGCAGATGATACTTAGTGTCATCTTGTGGCACTGTGACTTGCTGAGCAGGCTCAATTTCTGAGATATGTCTGAATGGAACTCATGCCAGTGCATATTCTGGATAAATTCTGGATAAATCATCGTTCAGCAATCTGAACAGTTCGGCCATTGGGACGTCACTGTACCCAAATCCAATTCCCATCCTTCCAGTGACGTCGCTTTGGGACTGCAACTGCTTGGACCTTAAAAATGACCCTAGCTGCGTGTGTTGGATGCTGAATGATGAAAAGCAGAAGTGTGACGCTCTCACATATTCACAAAGTCGCCTTCCTCCAAATTCTCACATCACTGGTCACATCACCATACGTCTTGTGGCTGTTCCTCGCACCAAGTCATCCATTCGATGGCAACAGCCTTCCAACATCCATCGAGTGGCTATCTGGGGTGAGACTGCTGGCAGAACAGGATTTTCACCGGTCGCACCGAACAATGTTTCAACCGACTGCTCCATCCCCGCCGAAAAAACGCAAGAGTGTTTGATGGTGGGTTGATATATTTGAGGTGTTAGTGTCTTTTAGTCTTTTAATATGTTCAATCTGGATGAAAGATGATGAAAGTGGGTATGTAGCCAGTAAATTAGATCACCAGAACAAATCTGGAGGTTTCCGAAAATGGGGGTACCCCTATATCATCCATTTTAATAGGGTTTTCCATTATTTAAACCAGCCAGCTATTGGGGTATCCCCATTTGTGGAAATCTCCATATTGATCAATGTTACTACATCAGCACCGGTGCCTTTCCTGCACTTTTCCTGCCCTGTGAAACAGTGAGGCGGCCTAGCTCTTCTCGGAGATTGCCACGAAAAGGGTTGCGCTGGGAACAAGCTGAGCGTCCTGGCGGAGAAACATGAAAAAACAAACACCAATTCCCAATCTAGAAAACCATGGAAAAATATAGAAAACCTTTGGGACTTCATGAAAGCCAAGTTCTTTGGTCTACAAACTCGACTTTTTTCCACTGCCGTCCCCCATCTGGGAAGTGAGTCCCTGTCACCAGCCAAGCCACAGACATGCTCTGCTCGCGATCGGTGTAGCTTCGCGGAGGGAAGGCGGTCCTGGATCGAGGCCCTTGCCAGACGACTGGATCGATGAACGCCTTGAAGAAAGAACATCTTTACTGCACCCCTGAATGAAATTCATAGTTCTCAATACTCAAAGGCAAAATCATGCACATCAATATCTTGCGCGCCCGGACAAATTAACACAATTCGTAAATCAGAACATATTACAGAATAAACATCAACAAACATCAACAAACATCAATAGACATCAATAGACATCAATAGACATCAATAGACATCAATAAACAAACATCAAAAAACCTCAGTAAACATCAGTAAACATCAATAAACATTAATAAACATCAATAAACAGGTTATGACCTCCCCTTTTTTCCAATCATTTCTGGGGCTGCGGCCCCGGACGCGGCGCCCCGCTGCTCCTCAAGTGGCCGCCTCTTAATCCGTCAAGGCCTTCGTCCAAACACCATTGCTCCACTGCGTCCTTCGAGTGTAGAGCCCCAGTGGCGCCCCAGATTCTCGGTGCTTTCCAAGTGTCCACCGGTTATAGGGGGATCTTAATGGGGATATATATATATATAACCATGGGAATATGTTCATGATGTATTTTCATGATGCATATATATATAACTATAAATTGTAAATGTAAATTAATGGGAAAAACGAAACATATCATCAACAATGTGGAGTAGCCATGGCTTTGTCTGAAAATGAGGATGCTTATAGCAGTTTGTTGATGTTTCTTCATTGGGAAAATGATGATTATCCATTTTAACCACCTAAAAATATACGTGATCTTCCGGGATGATCAGACCCCCATAGGTTGCAGTTGCAGCTCTATCTATCCATATTTCTCTTGGTGAGATCTCCAAGTGTTGATAATGATATCTTTTCAAACATGTCTGCTGGCAAATCCGTCTTTATTCATAGCCAATCTGACACACCAACCAATCAGTTTTTTTCAGCTGGGTGAGTATTTTCCATTCCCCTTTGGGTTTGTCCAAAAATCAGGTACCTCATTTAAATGGACCCATCCACAGCCGTTCCAAAATCAGCTCCTCCAGGTCTCCCACAGTTTGCCAAACTTCCAAGGAAAACCTTCAGCGCTGGGGATGAGTCTCATTAACCTGGGATTTATGGATCGTCATCCCCCCAAAATTCATGGACATGATAGGCTAGCCATTCATTGGGAAGTTTCCTGTGGTAAATCCAAGTTGATTGCTACAGTACAATAGCTGCTATGATCCAACCCTGATCGATCAACCTAAGCGACCAACACAGCACGGTGGTCTTGGTCGATCCGCACCTGGAACTGCTGAAATGATCTCTCCCAAATCCTCATCATCAATATTCATCAATCAAAGTCCCCCCCAAAAAAACATGGTTATCATGGTTTCTGAATATCTTTCAGAGTTTAAATCCCCCATAACATGCTTCCATGCTGATCATGTTGTACTTGATCAGCTCACCTGCACACGTGCGATGGGATCCTTCTCAGGTCGCGTTGGCACCAAAAGGGAGACCTGGCGCGACACCAACGGTTTTTTCTGGAGACGTGGCTTGAACATTCTGGGAAAACAGACATCTAAACGAAAAAGGAACATAAAGGAACCACATGTCAAGTCTTTATTTTATTTTTCCATGATATTATAATTTTGATCGCCGTCTATAAATTATGTATTTTCATGTATTTTCGGTCGTTTTCTTGGTTCCTCGGCTGCCAACTTTTTGGAATCGTTTTCCTGCCTCCCTCTCGGGACCGCAACTTCGGGCGCGGCCTGTCAACTCTGCAACCTTGATATATCCTGATCCCCCGCTGAACGCCAAAATAGCTGGATGTTCATCCTCCTACATCTGGTATATTTAGATTATGTATCTCTAATTATTAGAACCTAATTATTATATAATTATTAGGATCTAATTATTATATAATTGTTAGAATCTAATTATTAGAGTCTAATTATGATATAAATAAATAAATAAATAAATAAATATATATATATATTGCCTCTAGCCTATTGGCTGTAACAGTGGGCACAAAACAGAGCACAAAAAGGAGCACGAGGGAAACAGCCAAATTTAACATAATTTAACCACAATCCTCCCTGCAGAGCGCCATTTTTGCTGTTTCTGGTGTAGCTCTGCCTAATTGCTCGCGACCTGCCAAAGCAAGACAATTCAACCACAATACTTGCATGTGCAGCGGGCTGTTTGTCCGGGCACCATTCTGGGAACTCCATTGGGGCACCTCAAGTGTTCAAGCACAAGCTGGAGCACGCAAAATGGCACGAGGGAGTACACCAAAAAGCACGCAAAATGGCACGAGGGAGTGCACCAAGAAGCACGAACTGGAGCACACAAATAATGGCCACAGGTAACAGGTGACAGGTGACAGCTACAATACAAATAATGGCCACACAAGCTATGAAGCAATGAGCAGCCATCATTTGTAAATTGCAAACAATCTCAGGGCACAACAGGCCCAAGCAAGGAAGGAACCAACTTGCCAATTGAAAAAATGTCGCTAGTACGGGCAACACATCTGATGGAAAATTTGTCATTGGAGACTACCACGCTCAAAAATGTTCAACAGCAAACTGCCATTTGTAAATTGAATGAAAAGCTGCAGAGAGAGAGCAAGAAGGTAGGGCAGATGAAGAATACACACACACCATGTCACTCAAATCCCCGATCACCAGTTCCCCAAAATAACAATTTGCTTTGTGCCCCTTTTGGGGGGTCCCTATGTGGAAATCCTTTTTTTGACTGTTACAGGTATTAGGATAGACTCAATATATATATATACACACATATTATAATATATATAACTCAGGTATCATGGCTTTTCCATCCCCATCTCGGGATGCAAAATTCCATATCGGACCATCATCAACCGCTGGCCCAGTTCACCGATTCCTGGGGAGTTCATGTTTTGATAGTGGAGCACTATGACCCTATGATCTGATATGGCTACCTTCCTGGCGTTGCTTTATGATTCCATGACATCACCAGTGACTGATGGATTGTACCCAACTAAGACCATATAGTATACATGTATACATAGCACGATATAGCACATCACATTGCCAAAAGGATCCAAGGCTGGTCTCATTGATATCATCTGTTTCACATCCCATGGACGAATTATTGTTGATCTGTGGCTATGGATCGAATCCCTGCTGCTGTTCGCGTCAAAACACCTGGTAGTTTGGAATGTTCATCACCTATTTTAGATGGACAAACTTAATGAAACACCATGAAAAACCATGAAAAACATAGGTTTTAAGAATGCTTTTGACTCTTGACCCATCCACAGATAGGCGTATCCATGTTTCTTCAATTCACCATTCGGCCGTTCTGTTGAAGCGTGCCTGATCTTGCTGAAGCATCGTTGACCTGGCGCTAAATCTAAGATGGAATCGGCACGAATCGGCCACATTCCATAGGAACATCATGGAACATCATCTTCCAGACATTTGCCAGACATCTTCCAGATCTGATTTTGGGTCTCCAACGGGCTCCATCTTGAACCCATCGGGGATTTCGGACCGGATTTCGGCTGCCATCTTTCCGCACGGGCTGAGCTCCGAGGAGTCGTCCTATTGACGATCTAATTGGTGGTATACCTACCCCTCTGAAAAATATGAGTTCGTCAGTTGGGTTATTATTCCATATTATTCCCAATATATGGAAAAATAAACAATGTTCCAAACCACCAACCAGCTATTGACTGTTTGGATTGTGATGATATGTGATGATATGTGATGATCCGATGATCAATGTGGCTCCTGACCAACATAGAAGTCATAATCTTCACATGGTCAGACAATGTCAGACATATGTGAATAATCTCTCTTAACTATACTATCTCATTTGTCAAATTTGGGTTTGAAGGTCAAACAGGGGTGCCCCGACTCATTAGTTCTACCTTGGGTTTCACGGTTTCAACAGACTCCAGCTACCCGACAGTCTTTGCCGCTGGCCACATTGGGCTCATCCACGCAGTTGTAGTGGTACGGCCTCAGTGGGCTTTTGGTGGGTTCAATCCGACCGGCTTCTGGGTCCACCATGGTCCACCTGCGGTTGATATGCCGTTTCCATGCGCAGTCTTCCGTCGCAAGCATTGACATTTTCTGTCGAGACGTTTGGAATCATCCCAAAAACTGCAACATGAATCTGAGCTGCCCGACGTTGAGCAGAACATGGGTCTCTCTTCCTGCCCAGGATTTCCCTGGTCCATTGCGACCCCAAGGATTGGGTAAAAATCACTATCTCCAGCAACGCAAATGGCCTCCTCCCATTCGGGCACGTGGCGCAAGCGATGCTTGAAGAATGACATACCATACCTGGCTGCTGTGCAGCTTGTGCCAGATTTTTGGATCAGGGCACCGCCCCACAATGACCATGCACGCTACCATGCGGCTAGCGGCTAGAGTGTCAACCTTCACCATTAGATAATGCAAGCATGATGTCTCCAACATTGCAACAACTGAAAGATACCGAAAGCCTGCACTTCTTTCACCCACCTTCTTACTTCTTACACCAGTTTTCCAAGCTATCCAATATCCAAAAGCTTCCCGGCACCATGCTGAGAGGTTCATATGTGCATCTTCCATTGCAGGGAAGAGATGACCTGATAGCGAGGAAACCCTTAAAGATAGATCAGGTATTTGACAATACATAATTACATATGTATATACTGTATATATATATCCATATTATATATATATCCATATATATATATATATATTGTATATGTATATATGATATATATACATACACAGAAGAACTTTGGTTGCAGGTTTATTCTCCACCCTTATCCCACAAATTACCTGAAAAACTAGCGAATGGTGTGACTTGCCAATGTTTTGGAAGGCACCTATAACTCTGGCATGGGCATTGCATGAAACCTCGGTGGATGACTTAGGGTCGTCCCAATTCTTAACAAAGGACGTGTCACGTGTCACATTTGGTGATCTCACTCTTTGTGTTGGCCTTTAAAACCCAGCTACAGATTTGCTTCATTTTTTAGCCTAGCTTATGATGAAATCTCTGTTCTGATCGAATCCATCATTGTTGGTCTGTACGTGTCTCCCTACATGGTTTTGTCTGAAAATAGGGAACCCAAGAATTTTACGGTTTATCAGTTTATCATGTTTATTACAATGATCCCGGAATGATCCCATTAAAATGTCCATTTTGTAAGTTTACCAGTTTACCCGATTTCAGACAAAGCCAATATTGGAAAACCATTGGGCAAACTTCAGATCCTCATCCATCGCTTTCCAGCCTTGAACTGGCACTTGCCAAACACGTTCAGGATCCCAGTGCTCCTCACACCACCAAGTGCGGCGTCTCAAGTTCTGGTTGCGTTGAGTTTCGATAGCAAGGTAACAAGACTTCCTGGAAGATATCTAAGGAACAGATCTGTGGATTCATCAAGATTGGAGCCACAAGATGGGTATTTCCCATGGGTATTTTCCACTCATCAATCCATCAGTCCGATTTCTCTATCCGCGGTGGGCTCCTCACGGAGGTTCAACTCAATGAGGAGATAGTTCTGCTCATTCGCCTGCAGCAGCCAAGACCTCAGTGACCCCTCGGGCTCAACGGCTCTGTGACGGCTCTGGATTCGACTTTTGAACAAAAAACACACGTCACGAGTTCTTGGCCAGGTTGGCAGAGTCCCAAGTGTGATGTTTTTTTTGCAACATGTGCAACAAAAACATATGGGAAAGAGGAGGCCCCGCAATCTGAAGGCCAAAAGTGTCTTTCTCCAGCAATGTTGGTGGAGACTCATGGGGAGAGGTGTCCATCTTGAGAAACTGGGCCGCTGCAGTGAAATGGTGCAACAGCACTATTTTCAGACTTCCACCATCAAAAAATCGTGAACAACAAATCGAGACCATCGCACATGAAAACATCTTTGCATTTATAATGTACCCATAGGATCCATGGTGCTGCTATGTATATATGGTAACATCTACCATCAATATACCCCAAATGTTAGCATATCATATAATTATACCATACATGGATCCTATGGGGTATATATAGTCTTTCCACGTCTTTCCACATCAAAGATATGAAAAAATCACTGCGATCTGTTGGTTCAGTGCCAACCACCACTTTTGGCCCCTGGGTCCACTGGGTCCCCTGCCGATTATTGGCCTCACCGCTGATGTAAGGATGGCACATTAAAAAGGGGAACCTGGAAGGATCTCCCAAAAATGATTTGCGACTGATCAGTGCAAGTCTCTGGATCTTGAGCATGAAATAGGTGCAGAGTCTCAAATCGACAACCATAATATGTATGTATGTATGTATGTATGTATGTATGTATGTATGTATGTATGTATGTATGTATGTATGTATGTATGTATGTATGTATGTATGTATATATAATATATATATAATATATATAATGTCTTTGCAATACTTGTATGCATGTATACATAGGCGGACGGTCCCCAATCATACCCTCTCAGCCACCATTCCTGGGCTTCTTAGGTGCTTAGATCCCAACAAATTAATGGAATTTTGCGGGATTTTTCTCCATGTTTTCATGTCAAAAACCATCGATTTTTTCTCCCAAGCCTCCATGAATTGGCAAAAAATCTCCAGAGATTTCCCGATTTCGCCATATTTCGCCCAAGCGACATGTTTTCTCAAGAAGTGACCATCCTGCTTCACCCGATGCTGCACCACATCCTGGCGCTGGTTGACCGTTGGGTTTACCGCATGACATTGAATGATTGCATGATATTGCATGGATTTCCACGGCGGACTTGCCTATTTAGATGTATTTAGCAGGTATCCAAGGTGCTAGGAAGTATAAGAAGTGTAGCCACTCGAATATTGGTAGCTTTTGAAAGCACGAGAACTCTGCCTCAGTCCTCCAACAAGTGGAAGTCATCGTTGTGAATGTGCAGGTCCTGGGTAAAAAGCCATGGCTACACATTTCGATCATCCCCAGGGTCCTCGCGTTGAGTCTCCAGACCACATCTGCATCCCAGTCCAACATGCCGCCGAACTTGTAGGAACCCAGAAGCACTCCATCAGTCACAATGTAACCTGCACTTGCTCTTGTGGCCAGAGGACCATCCCAACGGTCCCAATGGTAAACCAATACACCATCCACAAAAAATAGCATTTTTTACTATTTTGGAGCAAATTAAGTAGTAAACCATCCTCAAAAAAGGGAGCCTCAAAAACTTGAAGTTTACCACATTTGCTGTACCAAATTCTCAATGTGTCTTTTCTTTTCCTTCAGGCATCTAGGAAGCATCTAGGAAGCAACAGGGTCCTAGCTGGTCCCAGCCGGGTGCCCCACGTACTCCCAGCTCCTTGAAAACAGCATCGATGTAGAACAGCAGGTGCCGCATGGTCTCCTGGACTGGCTATGGCTGACCGGTCACAGAACGGAAACTGGGTAGATCTGAGTAAATTTCATGAACCAACTGAAAATTGGGATACACTGAATACTTTACCATTGAGCATAGGGATATCACCAACCAATTTGGTGGTGGAATCTGGTGCCTTACCCAAATGAGGGCTTGGAATGATTAGACACTTCTGCGAATTCCAGACTTTTGAATCTTCTGAGCAATCACGGGGGCCTCAGTGAGTGGTTGGGACTGTTCCAACTGGCAGGCTTTTTTTCCGCGGGATGAAACTTAAAACACGAGACTACGGCAACCTGACCAATTTTGTTGAAGACATTTGAAAACCACAGCTGGGTCCATGGGGACTCTGAAACCACCGAAAAATTGCTGAAATATGCAATAGTCCCTCTGCTTTTCTGTACACCATTTGCTTGGATTTCCTGCAATATATAAATCGGCAGTAAAGCATTAACTTGGCTTCAAAGATGTGTCACACCGTTGCGCTGGCAATCTGCATCACCCTTGTCCCTGGACTCAAAACCGGTCCTTGCAACAAGGAGGCACAGCCCATCCGCGGTACACCTTGGCCCCAGCTATAGGCATCACAAGTTCAGGACGGGTGATCGACTATGTGGAAAGGCACGAAATGTCAAAATTTGCTAGGTTTGATTTAAAGCAGGCAACCAAAGTCAATCAAGCACACAGGTTCTGAAAAGGAAAAGTGATGACATGTGTGTTTTCCCCACGGTAAAACTCTCTCAAAAAGGCATATCCGCCATTCTTGCACAGGGGTTGAGGCTCAACTGGGCTTGAGTCTCAAAATAAGTTCTGGTAACCTCCTTTCACCCAGGCTGCTTTCCTGAGGCCTTCATGACTCATGGAAAGTGTAACTCAGTAGTACATCATCGGTGAGGTGTGTCCCTGTTCTCATCCCTTATGCAGGTTCAATCTTGCACCAAAAGATAACTAGAATATACTAGAATGTGGTAAACCAAATGAACGACATGTTTGGGCATTTTATTAGGTTGACCGCATTTTCCTTGGAATTGCCCATTAAGATCCATTGTTGGAATCCCTATCGACGAACCAGATCCAACCATTCTATCATTCTTGGGTTTATTACTGCGTTTACCTCACATTAACCATACGGGTGTGTCTCAAAATGTGTTGTTACACCCCAAAACTATCCCAAACATATGCAAGCAAAATGTGAAAGATAAGGTTCTAAACCATCAGATTTGGATAGATTTGGTTGGTTTACTGCATTTACCCTCCAATCGCGGCAAGCAAAATCCAGCCAACTCCAGCTAGAATCCCAGCTGGAGCTTTAGTGGAAAATCATCCAACATGGCCAGGCCGAGTTCGAGGTACCCAATCGGGCACGGGGCAGTTCACCTTTGAGAGGCTACAGCCGAAGTGTCGCTTCTGTCCCTCCGGACCTGTGAAGTCCTGGCGCTTGAAAGCAAACATGGGCGCAAGTGCACCTCCCTCATTTCCATCTATATGATGTATATATATATATACATATGCATAACATCCGCATATATCCACGTATATATATATAATATGAATATTATAATATTATATAATATTAATATACTGTGTATATATATATATGTATTGATGGATAGATGCATGGATGGAAACATACATGAATAGATCGATAGATTGACGAGTAGATAGATGATGTCCCAGCCAGACCTTTAAGTGGTTGCTCTCCATGAAGACACGGGCCACTTTCTCGGGTTTCAACCTGCACTTTCTGAAATGAAGCAATGGATGCAGTAAAAATTGACACTCAGATAGTTCAAAATGAAAAAAACGACAAACATCGCAGATTCCCTTCAGTGGCAAGCAATGGCTCGTAGTGGCAGTTCTTGAATTCTGCTCCACGCTATTCAAGTCCAATCCGGTGGCTTCTTCGGCGTTTCATGTGGATCATCACCCTGGCACTTTTATTTTTGACGCTGGCATGGTGACCACCATAGCCACTGTGGGATGATCATATTCCATTTTATATGCCTTAGTTCATAATCCCCAATCAATTTGGTAGTATAAGATCCAAATAAGATCCTGTTTTAAATCCCTGGTTTAAGTCCCTGTTTCATAACCAATCAACACGTTTTTTAGGAAGCTGCCCTGCCTGCTGGCCGTGGCCTTGGCGACGTCTCCCAGCGCCGATGCCTCATCACCGAACCTGGCGATCCAAAGCCCAGCAACCCTGCGGCAACGGCAAACAGCAATTGCTTGGGATGGTGCTGGTATAGAATCTGACATATATATATATACACATACATATATATATATGACATATTCTGAAAGGACGCAAAATGGATGTTCAGGCTATGCAAATGCTTTTGATCATAGGTCTTGATCATAGCTTTTGACCCATATCCACATCAAGTGTTCTTTTATTGCACAAGAAACACCACCCACTGGGACCCAAACCACTGGAAGTTGGGGGCCACCCCCTTCGGCACATCATTTCGCCCATAAAGGTGTGGCCTGGGACATCACAGAAAATGCTGAGGAATATCAGATTGATATCGATTGATCATGATTAATGTGGGTTATTGGCCACTAACAAAATATGAATATGGCTTCATTGGGAATGCTCATCAATTGGCCACGGGATGGCTGGCGCAGTGATGCACTTCTCAAACTGGTTGAAGCCCGTTGATCTATAGATTCTGTGGAGAAAAACTACCACCTGATCCCCAATCTTGGGGAAACCCACGCGGCCCCAAATTGGGACTGGCTCCAAGCCTTCCACAGATGAAATTGTCACATGTTCACAATTCTTTGGGATGATACGGAATACAGCGTCTATATCTATGTGTATATATATATATATAATTATATATATATATAATTATATATATATACACCAGATTTTGAATGGATATATTATCCCAAGAATTTGATCCCAACTTTTCTTGCTGAACGTTTTTGAAGAAGATATGTTTTTTCAGTCCCAGGCCCTGTGAGAGACATCTCCTCCTCCAGAACCGCATGGGGACACGCTGCGAAGTGACCGCCCTGATGGCGCCAACCGGGCCGAGACCTCGGATGCCACAAGGCTAAGGATGGGACCAGCGTTGACACTTGGGGGTAAGATAAATGTTACGATAAGAAATAGGTGGTTAACCATTTTGAGATGTGAAATTGAGAGTCTAAGATGAATTATATACATATATACACATAATTAAATACATATATATATAGATATAATCAGGCAAATAATGAACCTTTGAAGCATCAAACATTTGGATTTTTTCCCATCAGAAATAGCATCTCACCATCACCATCCAAGGGCTTCCAACCATAAAAACATGCGGTTTCACTGATGAGGATAATGGGATGGCAATGGGATGGTGTACTCCAAATGATCTTCCATCCCCGTCTGTGAAAAAAAAAATTGTCACCTATCCCCATTTGAATGACATATGAATGTTTGAACATACCACCAAAAAATGCTGCTTTGTTCATAGGTTGACTGGTGTCTGATTGCAAAAAGGGAGAACACCTTCAAATTAAAGCCTCAAGCTCGAGCTACTAGACATGGGCTCCATGCCAAAAGTGGGCACGACCAACAACAGGAATCCGCCCAAAAGGGGAAACACTCAACAAAAGAAGTACATGTATATATTTATTTGCTGGCTCAGGATAACATTTGAACCCTACATCATCTTACATCATTGAGACAATGCAAAGATGTATGACGTACCCGATTCGGTTCATGGGGATTTAAATAGTTGAAATGATTCACCATCAAGGTGACCGCCCCAATAATAAGGCAACTGGGCTTCTTAACCACCAACAACCTATCATTGGCGAGTAAACCTTTCAGGGGGTTGTTTTTTTGGGTTGGTTGAATCCACAGTCACTGAACGGAGATTTCTACACAAACACGGTGAACGGATGGATAGAAGTCACCAAATGTCACCGATTTCCCACAGCCTATCTTTCAATGTTCTTAGAACGAAATCCAGACAACAACCTGACATCACTGCCTCATGACCCATTAGCTCCGGATATTCTATGAGAATGTCCAATGGAAAAGGTGCATCATACCAAAGTACCATCAGGGATTCTGCACCCAGAATCAACATGAACAAGTCTGAACAAGGCTCCAACATATCAAGATACCCTCTGGTAAACTAACATAACTATGGAAAATCACCATTTTTCATGGGAAAATCCACTATCATTGACCATTTTCAATAGCTTTTTGTATGTTTACCAGAGGGTATATCAAAATGGAGAAAACCACACCTGGAGCTGGGTTCCCAAGTTTCTGACGATGAGCTCACAGACTCCACCTGTAACATAAGACAACATACAGTACATGACAAATAGAATGGTGTATGTATGTGTGTACATATAAGCCATATACATATCTATTGTGTATATATATATAGGTACGGCATTATTATCTGCTATATCACATACAGAATCAAGTGTGTCAAGCGTTTGCATCGTTTTTGGGCCAGGTAGAATACAAAAGACCCATCTGGCAAGGCCCAAGACTGGGAAACTAGTTGGTGGCCAGATGATCAGAAAGGATACACCACCTTCAACTGGCGCCTGAACTGATAAACTTCCTGGAAATTGGTTTTTGCCATGATTGTCCCTCAACCATCGGCCAGAGCGTGTTGTTGGTTCTAGCCATTGTGTCTCCAATTCTCTTGTTGGTTCAATTCATACCCCATACTGGTGCCATTATTGATATCCCCATATCTCCCCTGATTGTTTCCGTATTGCGTGGCTAAATCACCTTTTGGTCTCATTGTTTGATGCCTAAACCCCTACAGTTGGTGACTTTTTAGCCGGATATTCCAATTGTTAAGTTCCATCCTAGGATTTTTGGGATTTATTGGTGCCCAACAAAAAAAGATCCCTTTTTTTATCCCCATCTTCCGGATTTTTGGACCCTATCCCAGCCGAAACAGCTGCCTGCAGCAAAGGCGTCCGTGTGGCGCGGATGGAGAAGTCTAAGAGGGCCCACCTCGTTCAGACACCCAGAAAGGCCCATTTTTTGGGGAAAAAACACCACCTGAAGCACCCAAAAAGTGGGATGTGTGCTGGAAAATAAAAAAGATATACATATTATGTTTATATATATACACACACACGCACATAGTATATTTTATATACATATATATATATGTATATATATATATGTATATATATATATATATGTATATATATATATATGTATATATATATATGTATATATATAAATAATGGGAGCCATCATCGGATCTATGACCCACCAAAAATTGTTGTGCCCAACAACCCCAGATACGTTTGGGAGGTAAAAAGGGTCGCTAGAGAATCAATCGAAAAAATAATGGGACTAACATGGATTAACCGCAACACATTGACATATTACCCAGAATCGTGGGGTGTTCATGATTGGGATTTAACCATCCAACTGACCGTTTATTCTGATTGGAGGCTGAGCCACCCATACCCCAACATCTCAAGCTGAGATCGTGTTCCAACAAAATGGTCTAAGAAAAACTTGAAACCACCAATGTATAAAACCTATACATAATAATATGTATATATATATAGTTAAATATAACTATATATATATAATATACATATTATTACTATATATTATATATACATATGTATGGCTGTAGATGCCCTGGTTTTTACATCCCCAGAAGTAGCTCACCACATCAGGTGTCGGGCTCTCCATCCAGCTCTGGGTGAAATGCTACAGTACCTTGGTCAGGGAGGGTACACCCCCAAAAATGGGGAGTTAACAAAAATGTGGCTGAAAAATTGGTTCACCTACCCTTAAAAAACGATGGTTCAAAAGTCAAAAGTATTTCTAGAAACGTGGCAACATGGGGTCCCCTTTTTGGAGATTTTCTGAAAAAAAGGGGAATTCCACCATCACAAATGCTGGCTTCATCAGCAAAAGTGGTGGGGTTTACGGGTTCACCAACAAACAACTGGGACTTAGTAGTGATGGATGACTGGTAACTAGTTTGGATCAAACATTGGGTACCAAACACCTCAAAGCATTGCAGGTGCAGCGCCAGGTTGGCAACCTCCAAGATCCACAAATCAACTCCGCACCATGAATGACCATAATACGGAGGTGTCCTAAGTCATGGGGGTACCCCCAAATCATCATCCATGTTTTTGGGGGTTATTTTTCATGATAAACCACCCAGCGGGCTGGGGGTACCAACCATCATGGCTATTCTCAGGTCCCCACGCAGAGCATCACTATGAGCCAGGAACGTCGGCCTTGAGATGCCGCTTGGATGGGGATGGGCTCCGCTCGTTGCTGGTATTGAATACAGATTGACATGAAATGATATGAATTTCAGTTGAAGAGAATCATACAATCAGTCTATTTGAAACAGAATTGGAATCTGCTAACATCTTTCAGCATTTATGTAGATCAACTGGGCCTGGAAGTTCTCCAAGAAGACTTTTTGAGAAACTACGGCTCCCAAAGACCTCTTTCTCCGACGGGATACTGCACCAATAATGAGTTGGATAGAAAACTGCAGCTAAAGGGCAGAACCTACTTCTTCTTATTGTTGTTATTTCAATTAGATAACATGAACTATCTTTATATTATCATCTTATCAAAAATAGCTACTGACTTGGCTTAAGGATGCTCAAGGGCTGCATGTTCAGTTTTACTGGGCAATTGATCCAAATGACCGGCAAAGATTCTGCTGCCCAAGCCACCCCAAGGTCTCGCAAAGTTTGCAGGGACCTTCTTTGTCTTCCTCAGCGTGGAAATCCCCGCACTAGATGGAGGTTTAATGATAGCTGGGAAGATTATCTACAGTATTCTAAATGAGGGATTTTCCAGCAAACCATTTTTGATTACCAGAGGGGAATTCCTGATAGGGTAGATTTGATAAGATCAAAAGCAACGTAACATATCTATTAAGACGATGCAAAATACCACGGTATCATTTGGTTATACATATGTTATACATACGTTACATATACAATCATATACATATTATCATAATTTATCATATGTTGCAATATTTTGGTAACCACAATCGGGGGACATAATAACGGGATTTAATGATCTCCTGTGTATGGGTAATCATCCAGCGTATTCCAGCGTGTAGGTGCATCCCACTAACAGAATGCATGACTCAAACACATGAAAGGAACAAACAAATCGAATCAACTCAAGAATACTCTAATCAAATGAAACCAAACAAAAGATAACAAAAGCATGTCAAATCAAAGTCTCCAGCGCTTGAATCACACCACAAAAGCATGTGAAATGCCATCGAGCTTCCACCTTTTCCTCATGAAACCAGCTTCCCCTGGGTATGCGGCTGGTCATCAGCTTGGTGGTCCATCCGAATATATGAAAGTCGTGTGGAGTGGACAAAAAATGAAACAATAAAGGAACCCATCAATATCCATCAATAAGGCAAATCCTCATATTTTCTGGATATTTCTGAGTTGAGGCCATAATTTCACATTAGTAATTACTCATGATATCAATACCCATCAATATCCAATCAATACCACACCCATCAATACTGTTCCATCAATACCAATACCAATAAAAATACAATCTGGTAATTTAATTTCATATAGCCAATAACTTTATGATAAACCATCTGGTTTTACTTAATTTCATATTACCATGGACATCCATGGACCATGGGTTCCATTGCCATTTCAAAGTCCGGTAAATCATCGAAATCCCCACCTGATCGAAGAAGCAGAGGCTTCATCGAAGATCACACCTCGGAACCGTAAAATACATGGGGTTCTTGATGCATGTTGAGATAGTTGTATGTGCATATATGTATATATATATATACATACATATACATTATATGAATGATTATATATATATATATTTATTTATAAGTATATATATATACTTATAATATCTATTGAGATATATTGTTTATATATGTTTATATGACCACTCCATCCTACTCCATCTGAAAGCTGAATAAGTCGAGCTGTGAATTTGATGTTTTCTCCTTGATATGATCCACCCTTTGCTCATACTTTCACTACAAGGCATCCAGATTGTTGTGGAGATGGCTGAAGTCCGGACTGTATTCGTAGTCCGAGGCAAAGTCCAAGTGGTAGTGCCTGGTTGAAAACGTGGGGATGAACCGCCATGCAGCTCGTCCAGTGAGTCCGTAGCCGCCTGAGTTTCAACCGGTAGCAAAAGTCCGAGTAGACCTGGCAGAGTTTCACTGCAGATGAATCCAGCGATCCACACTATGGACCCCAAACAGTTGCTTTTAAACATGCCTGGTGCTGTGGATATGCTGTGGTTCATGACATGAAATATTACATGAAGTAGCTGGAACAAGCAACAAAACGCCGATAACGACTGCAATGTACAATTTGAAGCTTCAGGAGCCGTGCCTGTTGCCCACTTGGAGATGGTTTCAGTTCAATGATTTCTGCGAATCTCCCGAAGGGCGAAAAACAAGTAGATATCGCCGGAGAGATATTCTAGTTTATAGAAATATATGTACATCTTACATCTATCATCTATTTATCTGTCTCTATCTTTGTGTCTACATCTTTCTTCATGTGTCTATATATATAGTTATGTTATATATATACACCGAACATATTTAAAAACTACGCCATATGTCCCACTGGAGTGTATCATTTTTCCCAACGTCCCACTGGTCCCACTGGTCTCGCCACCCCTAATCCTGCCTTGTCTTCACCTTACAGGTCGGGGTGAAGATTCCAATCAATCAATGGATTGGTTTAAGGGAAAATCTACAGGAAACCATAGGTTTTTACCATCAAATATAGGGCTTTCCTGTAAATTTTCCCATCATCCAATTCTATGAATCAACTATGTGAAGAGGTGAAATAACTATGAATCCTTCACGTCTTTGGTTCGAGCGTCTCCCTTGGGCACTCTTCAAAACCCTAGGTAGGTCGTCCCTTGCTGCGCACGGTCTCGGGGTGATACCAATCTAAATGAGCATCACACCGCTTTCAATGAGATGAAAAGATGACAGCCAAACTTGCATAGACGCCTCTAGGTCGTCTCTTTATACTGGTTGGTTGAGAACGGGCTTCCCCGTTCATGGAGTGTGACGGTTTCCCCAGTTAATCTTGGTTAGGATAATGTAGCTTAATCCCGTATACAACATTATATAACTAATATATAACTATTATTTCCTATATATATAATATAATATAATATATATATATAATATATATATATATATATATTGGTTCGTATAATCCCCTATAACAACCTATAACTATAATTAGAATCGTCAACCAGCAGGACTGTTGAAGGCAGAGGCTGTGGCCGATGCTGGGTCCAAAGGCACCCAGGATCTGTCGACTTTGCACCACCCGACGTAGGCTCTGCAGTTCCTGTCGCTGTTTCGTTGCTCATCCAACGTGGCCCAGAAAATGCTGGGCCAACCTGCCCCACTACTTGGTTTTTCGGGACCCCACACAAGGGGCACAATTCAGTAAAAATGAACAGTGAGTTTGGTTTCTTAACACACCTTTTGTTGCCTACAGCTCAACCAACGTCCAGTCGTCTTGCCTTCAAGGAGGGCACAGCCGAACTGAGGATTACCAGGCTGAAAGGCGTCTCCACTGCCTCGCGAGGCATGGACATCTGCAAGGGAGCCTTTTTTCTCGGTTGCCTCTGGGTAGATTTTTGGGGGTAATTTACATATCCATCATTTTTCTCCGTTCAGATTTGGGTACCAAAAACTTGATGGATCAAGTCAAAAGAGATTTAGTCTCATCTGGCACTTGTTGCACTAACATTGTTTGGTTTTTCCATCTGGGGTCTGAAAATTGTACCCCATTGACATTTTAACAGGGACTATGAGTCGATGATCCATTGGAGGGTGCATCCATGATTATCCAACATCCACTGGAAGAGATTCCATCAACTTGTTGAGTGCTTGGCTGCACAGTGATAAATTCCGAGCAAAGAAACAAGTTGCACACATTGGAGGATTTGCAGAAAGTATGCGAACAAAGTGGAACAAAGTGGAAAGAGACCGGTGAGAAAAACTCAGTTCCCCCCCAGAAAACGACAAACAACAGGGGCTGCAACCCTCAAAAAAAGCGCCATCTCCAATAGAAGGGCATTCATCGGGTGCCATCTCCCATGCCGGGCAAGCCATCACCTCCATCATGGCGTTCAACATGGACCTTGGGACCAGCAACTGGAGGCAAACTGAGAAGCTGTTGCTTTTGCACCTTATGTTTTTCTTCAATGATCCCGGCAGATTTTTTGTTAACAATGTGTTCTTCCAGGAAAACACTATGTCTATGGTGTGATCATTCTAAATCATTCTAATATCCTGGGAGTCTTGTATAGTTTTGGAGTATATACTATGTTCACTGTGCCTGTGGTCACCTATTGTGTTCATGGATAGGGTCCTCATATTTGGATTTCGGATGGAATTCCCTTCTGACCTATGAGATGGCAATACTCCAAGGTTCCGGCTGCTATTTTGGTACGTCAAATTATCATACTGTTTTGCTATATATTCTATATCATATCATCCATTATCATCTAGAAAATTATATATATACACATAATTACGTAATATTACGTATATATATATATGTCTAAGAGAACAATGGAAACACAATTGTCATTTCCTCCTTTATAGATCCGCAAGATTTGAGGCACTTATCACTCGAAATATCCAACAAACATCAGAAGAGTTGAGGGTCAAACAAGACCAAACATGGCTGAAACATGCTGAAACTATCCACCAGCTTCTTGCCTACATTCGCTTTGTCCCCCACATGAAATCAGGTTGAGTCCCGAGTCTTGTTTGAGTGAGTGTTTCAATAATTTCACTGATTGGTGGTTTCAAACCGTCCCAACATTATTGGCCAGTTGGAGGTCATCATTCCATCCAAATCTTTGACAGAACCAGCTGTTCATTGATATGATATCAATTGATATCACGGGTGTCACCACCACCACCCCACCCAGCCTCCCCGCAGCAAGGGAGTTTTGTGCGTCTTTCTGTTGGTTTCTGGTTTGCGGGGGGTCTCAGTGGGGCCCAGCACTTGGAAAGATCACTGGTAGTTGAGCCACCCACAGATGATTCATGAAGATCCAGAAAGAAGAATTCAGAGTTGCTCGCTAACTCTCCTTTCTTCTCAGTCTTTTTGTAGGTCAAATTTAGTTCTAACTGTCAATTCTTTTCTTTTTTTTCGGAGTGTCTTGAATCACTCCATGTCAACACCAGGCTGGGCTCCACTGGCTGGAGCAAATAAACTCCATCTGGTGGCGCGACAAGTGTTGCGGTGACCAAGCCGCCACTCCGTCACGTCACCTCGCACCCGCTGATTCCAGCTGAGCAACTTGAAGGGACTTCGACAAATGCACCCTGCTTAAGAAAATTTCTACGTTTCGCCAGAAAATCGCCGCAGGGCCAAAGACTGGACGGCTGGATCTGTCGGAACTGGAATTCAAAAGAAAACACAGTGCCTGCCATTCCTAGTTTTTCTGACTTCCGAAGCTTATTCCGCGTTTTTTTTACATAGCTTCCCAAATGTCAACTCAATGACATGACCTGAGCGGCCCCGCAAGGCCAATTTGATCATCAGGTATCTCCATTTCAGCATTTCTGCTGGTGAAAAAAAAAAACATGGTCATTTGAAAAGCAGCTGTAAGCTGCTGGTATCTCCCAAGGTTGTTTCGACCATGTTTCACTCAAGGGGCAAGGAAGCTTCATGCAATTCTGAAGACGATTAGATCGAGGACTTGCGGATGACTGGCACGACAACATGTCCAGGTTTGAACAGTCCTTGACTGAGTGACTCGCTGTTCGGCAGCCTACTCTGTCCAGCACTATTTTTTACAGCAGCAGGTGCTGGTGCTGGCACGGAAGAGGTTTGCTCGTGATGGTGGAGTACCATCAGCGAGTGCACTTTTTTTACATATTCGGAGTACCTGTCAGTCTTGTTGGAGAGCCTCTGCACTCTTCATGTAGTCTTTGGCCGCCAAAGGTGACAAGAAGTTGACAAAGTCCAGCTGAAGTCCCATCATGACAAATGGCTAGCCGCTAGCCTACATAAACTAGATCTTAACTACTGGACCTGCAACATTGGCCTTACCTGGTCGTAAGAAACCACGCAAGAAAACAAAGAAATCCGACCGCACTGAAGGTGCCGAGGCGTTTTTGTGTGCATGTGTGAACTGGAAGCAAGTGCAATAGCTACTAAGCTTTAGCTTGGTAGGTCCCTTTATTGCTCTAGACTCCCCTGTTTTTCCACAGTCTAAAATCGGCTAAGTCGCCAAACTTGGCCTCAACATGGCCCAACATAGGCCCAACATGGGCCCAACATAGGCCCAATGCCCCAACAGGGCCCAATATGGGCCCAACACAGCCCAACATGGAGCCAACATGGAGCCAACATACTCCCATCATGAGATCTACGAAGACCCAACATAGAACAAAAAATAATGGTTTTGTTGGAACTCCGGAGCCAACACCGGTGCAGTTGTCATCGCGAAGCGACAAGAATAAGAACATTTAACATAGCATTTTTTTTTCCAAAGCCTGCAGTTTTTACCAAACGCACAAGGCGAAATGAATTGAGGCCCTCCAACCTTTGGTTCTTTGACCATTGGCCCCTCTTGCACTGCAGTCTGTGGGCTTCAAACCCTGAAGGTGGGATATGCATTTTTTGCAGCCCCCAATTAGATGGAAAAGTTGGAAACCTCGAATGGGGAAAGATGATGTATAGGAATCCTGGAAATGCAGTTCTACCTTTTTGGTGGGTTATTGTATATATATATGTACACGGCTGAATTATGGTAATTCACTAACCTGAACATAGTTGAAGCAAGGCCATTTGGGGATGATTCCCTTTACTAATCACCATTCCAGTGACGTCACATAGAGGGTCATTCTAATTCATCGAGGTCTCTGTACATGTAAAATATACATGTATGGACACCGGTACAGTACCCACATATATGTTGGAACATCCCTCAATGGTCCAGTTATATATATATGTAAAGCATCCATACGATATCCAATTATATATATATATACCCTCTGATTATTCAACATAGCTATGAAACTTTGCCCATTTTTAGATGATAAAAAGGATGAACTAGCAATTAGGAATCGTGGTTTTGGCCTGAGGAATGGAAGATCTACATCTTAAGTCCCGGTCCTCCGTTTTTTTAGGAACTCGGAGGTGTTTTGTTTGAAACAACAGTGAACAGATGGGAAAAGTAAAAAAACATATATTGAACGTATCATAAAATCATCCAATATGATTTTGTTATGCAATTTTCCTATGGGATCCATGACAATCCATGATTCTCGGCTGGCAGCCCCCTGCAGTGATGAAACATCCAAAGTCTGCGGGACTCTCAAACATCGCACAGAAGCGGAAGCATTGGTTCGGCCGCCTTGCAGTTGAAGCAACTTGAGAATCGTAGAGGGTTGGGATGTTGGGTTTTGCATGAAAGCTGTGGGAAAATCCACCCTTAAATTTGATATTTTTATGTTGATGGTTTTGCGCAAAAATTCTCAGTGAAATTGACATCAACTGAGGGTTTTCATCACCTATTTGGGACAGACCCATGGAAGTTCTCAATATCAGCCACCTGGATCAGTGTTGATTGGGGATACCACCTGGATGGCAGCCTATTTTTAGTGACACACCCAAAGATCAGGTACATATCATGTACATAGCATGTAGCCATAAACTTGGGCTGTATATCTGATATATCATAAATAGTGTAACCATAAATATTTATTGTACCCCTGTTGGGGAATCAAAAAAGCTTCACTTCTTCACCCAATGTCCCTGTTTAGCCTCGTCCAAGATGGTATCTGGACCCTCATGAGGCCAATGTCACCGCCACATCTGTATGTTTCACCTGAGTAAACCAGCAGATTCCAGAGATCCTCATGATCCACTCCATGAAATTTGGAAATCTCAAAAACTCATATTGAATCTGATCATAAAATCATAGTTGGTAGATGTTGGTAGCTGATTCTATGTCTATCTTAGAGGTATAACTTTAGTCCCAGCTGCAGCTTCAGAGAATCCCCCTACGGATGGAGGCCCCAGCCAAACCCACACGGAAGAGCGTGGATGTGAACACATCCCGATCCACTGAATTGGGGGAGCTATAGAATTGTGAGTTTTTTTTTGTGTAAGTTATTTAATGTCAAAACCTCCGGTAAGCTATCCTAATATGTTGTTTGGTTAGCTCCAAACTCCAATACCTGGACCTGGCCCTCTGAGGCACTCACCACGACAGCCATGTACCCTGAAAGACACTCAGGAATCGAGGGTACCACCCTCCTGCAGATTTCACGAGAAGATGTGGGGAGTGTTTTGTGGGACCTCCATGAAAAAAAACGTGTTTAAGGGGCCCGAAGTTACCAGAAATTGGCCTCTAACAGCGCTGAAACCATCGGGTCTGAATATGGATTGGGGTTGATGAACCAACTTGAAAAAGGCAAATTCAAGCAAATTCGACAACTCGAAAATAGCGTGTTCATCAAGTATGTGGATGAAAGTTATAGAATTGAAACAAAATATTAAAAGTTGGATATCCCAAACATGGGATGATTAGTATCAAAGAATGACAACTTCAGATTTGTTTCCTGCTCTTGACCCAATTCCATTTGAGATCATTTGGGATATAAGCAGAAAAATTGGCAATTCACGCGCAAATACATGAGATGCCTTCATTAGCCATCAAAAAGTGGTTTTTATACAGCACCTATCATGGGGAGATAAACTATCAATGGATGATCAATAGATAACTCACCCTTTTCATGGTGGATGATGCAAAAGTCACGACCTTTCGACATGTCAAGAGACTCACAGCAGCAGTGCTAGCGCCAAGTTTAAGGCGTAATTCTCTGCTGGAGACCAGTTTCAAACAGAAAAATGGAGGTTTCCAAAGATGGGGGTACCCCAATAGCTGGATGGTTTATAATAGAAAAAACATACAGAGACAGTGTGATACAGTACTGCCAACGAAAAATCTCAACCAACAGAAAAACCCTGCAGACTATTGGACTACGAGCGGATTGACGAAATCCATAGCGCTACGAGTCCCTCAGTGGTCAGTCCTGATACTGTTCAAAGCGCTCCCAAAATTCAGGGTTGCCTCGAGTGATTCGTTCTCCCGAGGCGGAACCCTGAGAACCGCGGCTTTCCATTGGGATTGGGTGATGGAGGTCATAAATCCACCAAACATCACCACACAATATGAAAAAACACTGGGAAATGGCCTTGTTGAGGGTCAGACCTCTGACTGGGATGATCGTTTTGATCCCATAGGACTTTCCACAGTTTTTTTTTTGAAATATGCTTGGCTGATGTTGGATGGAAAATCCACATATTTGTACTTACAAATTGATGATTTCTGACTTGCCAGGCGAGATGACCAGAGGGTACCCCTGCTGGTTTCCGGAAGACTCCACCTGTGCTTTACTCTCATGTAATGGCTTGGCTTCCAGAGATTGGACAAAACACTCGCTACTAGCGAACAATGCACTAATTATATATAACTATGCAGGTGGCTGGTTTAATGCATCAACATCATCTATAAGATGTGCCCAATCAAACAAAAAAACATGCCATGCTTCCACACCGTCTTTACTGGTTGGTGGTTGAGCGCCATTCCCAGAAACTGAGCCAAGAGCTAGACTTTCATCCCGTTTTGCGGCATGGGAACTAATACAAAAACTGAACTCTTCCGGTGCAGCTGCCCAAAAGTATGGAAAAATCGTAGTTCATCCCCAAACGTATGAGCCCAATGGGACCATCACCATCGTCATCACCATCTTCACCTTCATCATCATCGTCATATGTACAGTAATTATTCATATTCATGTGTTTATCATCCTCATTCCTCATTCCTCATTCATTGTCATCATCGTCATCATCATAATCATCATCATCCGATTTTCAGGATGCAATACTGCAACCAATAGCAAAGAAACAAACAAACACACCAGCCACTTCTTCCAACACGACAACGCCAGGCGACGCTCGAAGGCATTGAACCATCCACGGGCCATACCGTGAAGGTGGCAAAGCCGTTCTGGCCGAATCGGTCGAGTCGTTGGGCGTCACCATGTTTGGGATGGATACCCTCTGGTACTTTCATGGATTTGCTATGGAAAAATGGTGGTTTGACCATCAAGAAATGGGGTTTTCATGGGATTTGGAGGATATTTACCCTCCAGCCAACTAAGATAACTATGGAAACTCACCACTTCTACTAGGTAAATCAACTATAAATGGTCCATCTATGCCATAGCTATATTAGTTTACCAGAGAGTATGAACAGAACATTGAAATCACCACCCAGTTGCGTGTCTGATTGTTGATTAATATCACCACATAAATATCAAACAATATTTATGACTGGAACATTCTCACGACCATTGCTGGGGCTCCATTGGTCCATGGTAAAAGGGGGATACTGGGACAGTTTATGTTAATATGTCCCCTGTTATGGTTTTTATGTTCTTGTTCAATGTTTCTTCCCTACCTTTGATGTTTTATGTGGGTTTCTGGGTCAGATTTCCCCCTAACTTTCACTGTTGATGTTTGGATTGAATGGGGGGAGGATTTGTTTAGGCTGTTGGGGTTTTCTGTTTGTGTTTGGATGGGTGATTACTTCATAATATGTTTTGTTAAGATATTATGAACTAATCATTTATGCTTTCCACTTTCCTATTCCATCCCACAAGTGTTCAATCACTCTCATTTGTGTTAAGCAAGGTTTGTTTGTATCATTTAGTTCATCCATTGCTATTGATAAAAGCGTTAGGTTGATAATCATAGCGTTGAATTTTCCATCTCTGTTAAGTTCCTTACCACAATCAATGATGACTTTTTTATCAGTGAGGTTTTCATACATCTTTTTCATTATATCAAATCTTACGAATGAATATATTATCATTCCATTTACTCCTTCTGCTTCTTCCATTCTATCAATTACTTTCTTCCAAAACTTTTCTCCTTCCTCATCATCTGGTGAAGGCATAGGATGGCACT